ATTTTAAACTCTTGAAACCAAATCAAATCAATTAGCCCTTGTTGTAGGAACTTCAAAGTACACTTTGATTCTTAAACAAGACTACTGGATTGGTGGAAATCTAACATTACACATTAAAGCTAATTCAACAGTGTCAATCAAGCTAAATTAAAGTGGATTTGAAAAATAAAAGATCTCAAATCCAAGAAAGGAGAGAATCTCCAAAAAGTATTAAAAATCACTTCTTTAGTCAATTTTAACAATCCATGCTCAAAATAATAGGAAAAGTAAGGTCTTTAACAAGAAATGGAAGATAGATATGTATGTATAGATTAAAGGAAAGATGGAGTATACCCTGACAGCATCGTAGCCAGCAAGGTGAAGCAGGGCGTACTGGAGCATACATCCGTGGCCAGCGGAGAGAACGAAGCGGTCACGGTTAAACCAGTAGGGGTTCTTGGGGTTGTACCTCATCACCTCATCGTACAAGATGTGACCCATGGGAGCACAGCCCATGGGAAGACCAGGGTGCCCGGAGTTCGCCTTCTCTACGGCGTCAATAGACAGGAATCTGATCGTGTTCACCGACTTCTCAACCAGGGCAGTGTCAGTCTTCTCCAAAGTCTCGATTGCAGCAGAAGCCCGCACAGTTGAGGAGCGCTGGGGGGCAGGGACGGCGGCGGAGGAAGGGACGGCGCGGCGGCCGGCCTTGAGCCCGCTGAAAGTGGGGAAAGAAAGGGAGGGGGTGTGGAGCTGAGGGGTGGCGGAAGCGGAGCCATGGCGGGGGATGGAACGGGAGAGGATGACTTGAGAGAGAGTGACAGAAGAAATTGAAGCCATGGCTGAGAGGGTTAGAGAGAGAGAGAGTGTGTGTGTGGTGAAATGAGAGTAGAGGAAGAAGATATACGGAAGAGTAAGGTGAGCGGTTGGTTAGCCTTTGGAGAGAGAAAGGGGCTATGACTGGTTTGGGTCACTTTGGCTCCTTCTGCCTCTAATCAATCATCACCCCCTTCCGCTTGCAAAATCCCAATTTTTGGTTATTTTTTAGATTACAAAATTCCATTCTTTTCAAACATAGGACTTCGAGTTGAACCCAACAGGGTAGCTTAAGTAGTAAATAAGCTTTCTTTGTGGGAGGAAATTCTGAGATAATCTAGTTCAATTTTTACAAGTGACGATTTCCTTTGGGCCAGCTTCTGTGCCACCCGAGTGGACCACTTGTATCTTCATAAACAACTCAGTTGGTCAGATAAAGTTTAGGAACAATGACCCGGGACCAGCGACAGTGTAAGAGAAATCTCAAAGACTCCTTGTGCGCAATAACCATAGTCCATAGGGGCAGTGGCGGAGTCAGAAAGCTGGGGTTGGGGGGGCCAAATTTATAGAAGAAATTTATTATCTTAGTCCATATTAGTACCAACCACACAATATTATTATATATATACCATATATGATTGTGCCAATTATTATTGATAATTATTTTTAATTATACTATGTACAATAATATATGAAATATATAATTATATGAGTACGATCGCTAAGATTGTCAAACATTACTTTTGAATTTTTTTTACATAACACAAAAATTATACAATAGTAAAAAAATAGAAAAAATTACACTTTTAACCACTAAGTTATAGGGTAATTGAAGAATTCATAATTATTAGTCATGCTTACTTTTTGTCCCTAAAATATTCTCCGTAATTGATGTTGCAAATTTCGTCCCTTTACTAACAAAACATTAGGAACGAAGTACAGCTTAGAAAGGAAGAGTGACCACAACATGTCATTTAAAGGACGAAATTTGCAACGTCAATTATAGTTTAGAGACGAAAAGTGAACACGACCAACAATTATGAACGAATTCTACAATTATCTCATAACTTAGGGACGAAAAGTGTAACTTTCGAGTTCATTTAATATATACATAATAGAATTTTTTTTTTAAAAAAAAAATTAGGAGGGGGAGCCAAAAATGTAATTTATCCCTATTATAATAATATATACCTATATATTTATTAAAAATGGAGGTGGGGTGGGGGGCCAGGACCCCCCTTGGGGTAGGGGTGGCTACGCCCCTGCATAGGGGTATCACTATGTTCAGCTGGAGTTATCATAATTTACATCATCCTAGATACTTTGTCAGATCGAGGTGTGAAAAGTCTTAATGTTGAGAATTTAACTTTTTGGAAACAATTTATTCTAAAAGTTAACTATTAATTTCTTTCCCCATTTACTTTCCCATAAAGTTTAGAATTTAATATTTTTAATATATTACAACAATTTCATTCCGTGCACGGGTGAAAATACTAATTTATTCTAAAAGTTAACTATTAATTTCTTTTCCCATTTACTTTTCGATAAAGTTTAGAATTTAATATCTCAAATTAATTGCTTTTAATATAAAGCGTAAGAAATATCCTAATACGCAAAAAGATGTATGATGATTTAGGTTGTTGAAAGAGAGAGTTGTTGGTATTAGAACAACAGTAAACAGGTGGATTTTCTAGGCAAGACCAACTAACTTATACAAAGCTAATTTGGTAGTTTGAAGGTGGAGATTTCAGTCAAATTGGTTATTCATCTCACCTAACCATAGGTAGGTAGCAGAACATATAATAATAATTAAAACATGTGGAGATTTGATTATATTACACAATTTGATTCATGAAATCTATAATCAAATAATTTAAATAGTCTTATCATTAACCTAAGACTATCAAACACATTCACAAAGAAACTAATTATTGTGCGAACTGAATTGTACTATCAAGCACATTCAAAGAAAAGATAATTCTTGCACAAATTAACCCTCCTATGAGCATCATCAATATGAATTTTGTGACTGGATATTGTTAGTATGATTGAGGCTCTATTTGACTGAGCTTATAGCTTATTTTAAGCTACTAATAAGCTATAAGCTCTGTTTGATAATGTTTTCAAAATAAACTAATAGCTTAAAATAACAACTTATTTTAAAAAGTTACCTTATGTAGCGTTTTAAAAATAAGCTAGTAGCTTCATAATATTTTTTTTTTCATATTTATCCTTATTATTTTAAATAACATATTTTACACTTCTAATTAAAATCCTTTTGACATTTTCTCTTCTCTTATATTTTGATCCATCCTCTTTCGCAACTCTCTTCTAACTTCAATCGTTAGTTCATAAATAAATGACATCCTTTACCCTTCTCAATTAAAATCTTTTTTTCTTTTGTTTTAATAATTAAATATATATTATAAAAATAATTTTTTTATAAATTAAATATATCTCATATATTTAATAATATAAAAACAATATAATACTCACATCGTTTAAATTTTATGAAAATATCCATTTTAGTCTTTTTACCTTTATCAGCTTATCAAAAAAGTTAGTTTTACCAAAAGTTCTTCAATTTTCAGTTTTCAGCTACATTTTTAACTAGTTTTGTCAAACATAGCCTGAACTAAATTCATATAGTAATGTTTTTTTAAAAAAAAATAAAAAATTCATGTGATATATATATATATATATATATATATATATATATATATATATATATATATATATATATATATATATATATATATATATATATATATATATATAATCAACCGTGCAGATGTATCAAGTTACAGTGAGTCCTATTAACAATGGTACTTGTAAAATTTGCTACATCTACATATTTGTACTAAATGCAATATAACAAATTAGAAATTTCCTATAATTATATAGATGGCATTGTAAAAAATTGATTATATCGTTGCAGTTTAATTATTAGAGTATTTATTGTAGCCTTTGGTTGGGACTTGGGAGGGTGGTCCAAATTGTGTGGCGGTAACCACAAGGCACCACCTAATTCTTATCGAATCTCACTATTTTTCTATGTCAAACTATAATATAAAAATTCTGATCAGCTAAGATATTGGTGAGTGGTGACCTACAGCCGCCACGGACAACCAAAATATTAAAGAAACAAATACAGATTTTTGCGCTTTTCATTAGTTTACTATTGCACACTTATAAATTTGGCTTTGTGTATCAAGGGAAATTATGCCCTGCATTGTGGACACGAGTTCAAAACGACGTCGTTTTCAAGGAAAACGCGTCATTTCAGTTTTAAAAAAATTAATTTTGTCTCGCCATTAACGGCGTTATTCGTTTGTGACGTTATGAATGTACAATTATGAATGTACAGTTATGGAATTATGGAATTATGAACACAAAACTCTGACATTATGAACTTACAATTATGAACATAGAGCTTCAAAAATTATGAATGTACAATTATGGAGTTATGAATGTACAGTTACGAGATTATGAATGTACAGTTATTGAATTATGAATGTACAATTATGAAATTATGAACTTACAATTATGAACATATAGTGATAAAATTATGAACATAGAGCTTCAAAAATTATGAATTTACAATTATTGAATTATGAATGTACAGTTACGGAATTATGAATGTACAGTTACTGAATTATGAATGTAAACTTATGGAATTATGAATGTACAGTTATGAAATTATGAACATAGAACTCTGACATTATTAACTTACAATTATGAACATATAGTGAATAAAATTATGAATATATGCTCCTATAACGAAGCGGTCTGAAATTTAAAAAAAAAAAAAAAAAAAAAAAAAAAAGGAAGATAACGATGCCACTAACGGCACCGTTACCGTGTCCACACTGGGTCCCTAGCATAACGATTGGTGTATCAATTTTTTTTACATGATTATTACATTTTCTTTCACGTAAATTTGATTAATTTTATGACCACACTAACACCAAAATTACTATATTCAGTTGTGTGGTCTACATGCTACTTAAATTCAAATAATATAAATGCTTTTTCAAATAACTCACATGTGAGATATTCCAACTAAAATTGGTTGAAAAATGAATCAAAATGACAAAATGAGCAAGAATTTATTATTTATACTATAATAAATGGAGAAAAATTGATAGTCATGACTCATGAACCAAATGCAATAGTTGAGAGAGCAAAGTGAAAATAGCTCAAATAAATATAATGGCAAAAGGTTGCATCATATTCATTGGTGGATAATAGCATTACTCCATAAAAACCATTTTGGTCAATATTTCAACACTATAAAACCCATTTTGGTCATTATTTCAACACTATCTTAGGAACTCCGAGATTTATGGTCAAAGAAGATGTCATATGCAGCTGAGAAAATAAATATTATTGACATTTGACAATAATTACAAGATGTCATGCATAGTGTGATACTCTTTTTTTAGGTGAAATATACTGAAGTTGGCATATGTTTACTATGACATTCAATGATATGCTTGGTTACCTTTGAGGCTATAACAAAAATGACCAATCTGAGCAAGTGCAAGAACAATCACGAGGTGCTGTAGACTATAAGAACTGATAGATATTGGCATTCAATCATTTAAAGCAACCAGAATAAGGGCACAATTTCTTCTCACAAATACTTACATCATCTTGACTCGTTTGCAGCTTGAAGTTGAGTTCCGGATGCCTCTTCTCGTCACTGCTGATCGAACAGAGGGCGACTTATCAATGTGTGCCCGCATTTCTTTCATTCCCACTCCAGTAAAGAATGATGCGGTTAGTACAAGCATGAGACAAGATAAAATTCTGGATTAGCATGGAAATAGAAATATGATGTTGGAGGCTTTTTCAGCCATTACCAAGGGCGAGAGTCAATTGATATGAACCTTCAGAATATTTGGTGGTTACTTGATTAAATAAGACAACCTGCAAAAGTGTGAAATTCATATAACAAACTCAATTCAGTAATGAGTACAAAGATCAAAATGCAACTTTGCATATTTACATCATGTTTAGGACGAATGAAAAATACTATCAAGGAATAGGAAATTAGAAATGCACTTCCACAAGGTGAAGTTTGTTTAAGGATATGTTGTTTTTAACTATAGTATACCACTATGCTGATCTCATCTGCCAAGACTTATGATTCTGTACTAAGCTATCCATTAAGACTGGAAAATTAGATATTACACCAAATTCACTTTAATGTGAGTTGCCTGGGTATTTTTTTTATGAAGAGTGATGAAGAATACAGAAATTCAGGCATATATTGCATTTTTATCTGGATGATGCCTTGTGAAACAAAAACATTTAAAGAGCATAGGCAATCAGTCCTTAAGTTATGAGATCTTTTAAAATCTATATTTGTACTCTATCACAACGTTCTCTCCTTTGTAATCATGGACTTGGAACATCTCCTCCTAACTTAATTCAAACTATTCCAGATTCATTGTCATTAGTTCATTACGTTAAAGCACTTTCTAAAACTCTCCGCTTAAACATTCATAGTGACTAAGTAAACATCCTGTGAATGTGCTTCTTCAGCCTTAGAACCAACTCCTGCATATTTAGCAAGACGCACATTATATATATATATATATATATATATATATATATATATATATATATATATATATATATATATAGTAAGACGCACATTATTTAGTAAGACGCACATTATTTCACCATTTCTGTTCACCTGAATTCAACAATTCGTAACAAAATAACCAAATTACAACTAATTTCACCAAAATTATCCACAAAGCAATCATAAAAGTAATTACACACACACACACACATACACATGGATAATGAACTTACAACAGCAGCAGTTTCACCACCGCTAGTTTCAACGCCCAGAGCAACCACACTTTCGTCCGGGATTAATTGGTTCTGCGTCTGCAACATTGCGGGATTGAAATTTGACGAAGAAGGAGCTGAAGAAAGTTGAGTTGAGAGAGAATTGAGAGTAAGATTGTCGAGAGAGATGGTGTTGTAGGTTATTTATATACTGGGCCGTTGGGCCGCAATACAGCTTGGATCCACATTTCTTGCACAGTAGTTCAATTTCGGAAATGCTTTAGAAATTTGTCCTGAGCCCACCTCTTCTCCAATCATTATTGTATAGACCATGGTCCATATAAGTTGTGTGGATCATATTTTATATAATATAAAATAATATACATTCAGTACAAAAAATTACATTCAATACAAAAATAATGTACATTGTATTCAGAAAATATACATTATTTTTGTACTGAGTGTACATTATAATATATAATATACATTCAGTACACAAATAATGTGCATTTAGTATATTAAAAATATACTTTTTGTTATAGTTCATACAACATTGTGTGGACCATTGTCTATACAATAATTTGCCCCTCTTTCTCCTCTTGGGCCTATGACCCATATAATGGACAAGATTTTTAATTGAAAAAAAAAATGTAATCTCTCTAAAAAAAATCATTTAACTATTTTAGTTTATAATAATTTACAATTGTAAAATTAGTCCTCAATATAACCAAACACTGAATACATATGTTTTTTGTCCTTTTGCATCTTTTCCCATCAGTTATTGTTTATTTTTCATTTAACATGTAACACGATACAACATATAAAAGATGTTTAGTGATAATAATATGTAACATGTCATTAAGTGTCAAATAAAAAACAAGCAATAGATGACAACAATAGGAAACGAACCAAAACAACACACATTGGCTACATTAGGGACTAATCTTGCAATTGACCATTGCCATATTCTAAAGCAACTAAATACAAATAACTGATGGATTAAATTTTTTTCGAAGAAACTAAGGGGGTGTATTCAATCACGACTTTCATAGACTTTTAAAAATTTTTATGAACTTTAAAAGTTTAGAGGTATTCAATTCAAACTTTTAGGGAGTCTTTAAAAGTCAGGAGGTATTCAATCAAGATTTTTAAAGAGTCATTAAAAGTCGGGTGGTATTCGATTAAGACTTTTAAAGAGTCTTTAAAAGTCATGCGGTATTCAAAAAGTTATGAACTTTTATAGACTTTTTAATTTTAGGACTTTTGTAGACTTTTCCTTCTCAAATATTAATAGTTGAAATCCAACCATCAACCCCAAGATTTCAAAATTTTCTTTCTACCAACGAATGTTTTCTCTCTCTATTTAACATCTATTATTTTTATATCCCTATTTAAACTTTATAAACCTTACACCTAAATTCAATAAATTATTTTTTCTTCATTATCCTATATTTTTTTCATACCTGAACTCTACTAATTTTTTCTCTCTCCTAAACCTTACCATCTTCCTCTCAAAATTAGAATAATATTATTTTTACTTCATTATTGCTTATTTATTTTGATTTTTTTTTTCTATCAACTTTCCCCCCTAACTTCTAAACTTTTTCTATGAATTTTCTACCATAACTTCTAAACTTTATCTAATTCTTCCTAAATACATGAACAAAAATAAAATTTTCATATATCAACGTCAAATTTTTACTATATGATTCATAATATACAAATAAATACTTATAAATTTTGATTTTTATTCTTTTTATGTTTATATTCGTAATATTTTTTTTTTCTTTTTTAACAACATGTTAGTACGAATAGCGAACTACTATTTGCAACAACAATTTGGGGCTGCAAACAGTAATAATATATAAGTAATTAGCATATAAGTCTCACCATGCTATGGATAAAAGTAATAATGTTGAGAATGTTGATGTGAGTGAAAAAAACTATATAATAAGAAGAATTTTATGATATATTATAAAATGTTTGGTAAAAAAATTATAAATGATAAGAATCGAAATCATTGAAAGTTTGTAATGGTGTATTCAATTTAGAATTTCAATGACTTTTGTAGACTTTTTTAACTAAAAAAAGTTGATAAAAGTTTATGAATGTTTTTTGTATAGACTTTTAAAGAGTCTTGCAATGTTTTAAAAAGTTTGAATGACTCTATGAAAGTCAATCAAAGTTTATTAAAATCTATCATTTTAAAAGTCTTTAAAAGTCTACAAAAGTCATGATTGAATACACCCCCCTAAGTACTAATAATTAGATTGTGCTTATTTCAATTCATCAAATGTTCAAGACCTTGACTTTTCAGTATAAGAAATATGTTTCATTCACTTCCTTGTGACTCTAACCAGCAAAGAACCGTAGTGAAATACACTAACCTAGCTAGGTTGTTCAGTTACCGTAATGAAGTAAACCAACCTTGATTGTTCATAAGTCATAACTGATCGACTCAAATCAAGAAGGTTAATATGTAACTCTCATGAAGAGTCTAACTTTGAACATCGTGGACCAAATTAGATGGAGTTGCTCATGTTTTGTTTTATATTATTTTTTTTAAGTGACAGGGAAACTCGTAGTCACTCCTCAAAGTATTTATGGAATGACAATATTATAGTCTTTTGCTTGATCTAGTTGTTATAACTCATAAATATAAGCAAGTAAATAACAAATATGTTCAAAGTACTCACAATTTAAGCAAATGACTAATAAAACATGTGTAAAGTACTCACAATATCTTGTTCAGATGCTCCGATCAGGTTCATGTTTTTAATTTGCCGGATGCATCCTCTAAATTTTGAAAGAGCTGCCATTATATTTTGCATGCGAGTTTGAAGAGATCTTCATGGTCGAATATTACCATTATTTGTTGGTAGCATTTGATGATACTCAATCCCGATACGAGTCCAAAATTGTTGTTGTGTATGATTCTTACCAATTCTAGGATCTTGGCTAATATCACAATACACACGACATAGAAGTTGATCTTCCTCGATTGAGTATGATGCAGTTTGGGTTGTGCGTGAGCTCGATATTTTGCAAAGAGAATGGAGAGGTGTTGCAAAATCAAAGAGGGGGGTTTGAGAATCCAAAGAGTGGTGGTTTTACTTTAGCAATCCAAGTGTAGTTGTAGACACAGAAAATTTGAAGCCGACAAGTGGACCGATTAAATTATTATCGAGCCCAATTTCAGGGTTGATCATTAATCCAATTTAATTAATTGGGCTATGATAATTAAATTAATTTAATTAGTCCAAGTAAATTTGATTTGGGCTATTGAATTAATTAATTAAATTAATTGGTCCAAGCCCATTTCATAATTGAATTATAATTATAATTATAATTTAAATATAATATGATTTTATTATATTTGAATTAGATAATTATAATTTAATTTGAATTTGAATTAGATGATAGAATAATGAACCTAGACTTGATTTTGGCAAGGTTCATTTTAGTATATAATTAATTAATTTAATTAAATAAATATTAGTGGAGTTTGTTGAGGGATTTTAGTTACAAACTTCACTATAAATAGAGCCTCAATTCCATTCTTCAAATCACACCTTAAATACATTGAGAACAACTTGAAGATTTGAGAGCTTAAAGGCATTGAAGAACGCTTGACAACTTGAAGGCTTGAAGATTTGAGAGCTCTTTTGAAGGCATTTGAAGATCTTGAAAAATTAAAGGCATTGAAGGCATTTTTTGCAGGTTTTAAAGATCTTGAAGCAACTTGAAGCCTTTTTATAGAGTTGATTGCTTCGGAGCTTGACGTTCGTTGTTGAAAGTCACGTCAATTGAATCCCGGATCTACGCCACTTGAATCTCGGAAGCTACGCTATTTGAATCCCGGAGGCACTTCAATAGATAATGTCAGTGAAGAATCAGAGGACTATACAGAGATTTTGTACCTACACCTTGAATTATACACACGCTGTACACGGAATTTTGTGAAATATATACAAAGTTGACTTTTTTGTGTTTACAATAGTATTTATAGATGAAAACAATCCTGATATCTTATTGTGATAAGATTTCATATCTTTCATTGGATTGTGTGTTTGTCAAGATTTGCATACCAATAAATGGTTAAGATTGTTGATATTTAATCTAACGGTTGAAAATAATCCTGATAAAGGTTGTGATAAGATTTCATATCTTTCATTGGATTGTGTGTTTGTAAGATTTGCATAACAATGAATGGATAAGATTTTTGATATGTAATCTAACGGTTGAAAACAATCCTTATATCCTTTTAGTGTAAAATTTGGACAGAGAAGCGTATTATGCACTTCGTAATGCATTGATTGAGCATATATAGAAACGATAGAGAAATTTTCAAATTTGGTCATATGACTATAGGGGCTTTGTTAATTTCAATATCTGACTTTCAAAAGTGTCAATTTAGTACCTTGACTATACAATTTTTATCAATTTTGGTCACTCCGGTCAAATTGCCGGTCAAATTTCGTCGAAAAATTTTAACAGTTAAAACACTGCTGGAAATTATGGAATTTTCGATCACCTGAAAGTGATCTTATATTAAGTCGAAAGCAAAAAGTAGTCGGAAATAGCAACAAAGGTTTTTCCGGATACCAAAAATGGTCGGAACAAGGCTTTCGACTTGATTTAAGATCATTTTCAGGTGGTCGAAAATTCCATAATTTCCATCAGTGAAATAATGAGGGTATTTTAGTCATTTCACATCTCTTCCTTCTTCTTCGGCGAATCCGTCGCAGCAGCACACCTTCCAAAGCATACTTAAACTCATTTGTCAAAGCCATCGCCGACGATTTATTAGAGTTCAAATGACCAAAATTTCAGATGAAAACATCTGGTCGTTTGTGTAAGGGGAGCTTGAGATACCGACGGACCTATAAATCTCGGAACTGCACTTCTCTTTGTGCTCGTCCAGCGCACCTCCTGCCAAAATTTCGTTTGAAAGCTTTTTCGGCCAAAAAAAAGGCTTGCTCGAAGAAGAAAGCGAAATGCTAAAAGTGATGTTGGTGCCTATTTATTCTAAAACTTCTCTATATCAACATTATGCTAAAATTGATGTTGAATAAATACTTATCTTTTTGGATAATGTTGAATAAATACTTTTCTTTTTGGATAATGTTGAAAGCATCGCATCGCACCTCATCATCGGATTCGCCGAAAAAGATGAATTCGCCGGAGAAGAAGGGAAGAGATGTGAAATGACTAAAATACCCTCATTATTTTAACTGTTAAAATTTTCCGACGAAATTTGGCCGGCAATTTGACCGAAGTGACCAAAATTGATAAAAATTACATAGTCAAGGTACTAAATTGACACTTTTGAAAGTCATGTGCTAAAATTAACAAAGCCCCTATAGTCATAGGACCAAAATTGAAATTTTCTTAGAAACGATATGTTAATTTTGAAAATTAAATGTAATAATTGTTATATGTTATATTATTTATGTTATATTATTATGGAATAAAAATGTTATTGGCATTACAATTAAATTTTATAATAAAAAAATTAAAGTTTTAATTTATGAGAAAACAAATTATTTTAGTGTAGAAATAGAATTTGGTGTCATGGGTTGGGGATGAATAAAATTTGGTGTAAGAATAGGCAAATTATATTGTGCACCGCGGTGCATAATTAATTATGCACCGCGCATCAAAACGATGTCATTTCATTTAATGAAAAGAAACAGAATCCGTTTTGCGCCGTTCCGCAAAAAATAACTTTGTTCTTCAGTTTCATTTTTCCAGTTCAACACAACTACAGTTTTATTTCGATATAACTACAGTTTCATTCAATATTTATACACTCAAATATGTGAAAATGTTATTTAATTTTATTTTATATACACTATAGTTTCATTAAAACACAACTACATGATCATTTCAATGCAATTACAGCTTCATTGTACAATATACACTCAAATATGTGAAATGTTATTCAGTTTCATTTTATATATACTGTAGTTTCATTTCATCACAACTACAGTATCATTTTGATATAACTGTAGTTTAATTTAATAATATAAAAATAATTCGTGAGGCAGTGTCAGTTTAGATACATTATAGTGTCACTCCGTTAACACTAAAAGCGCGCCGTTGCTTTACTTGAAGAAGCGACGCCGTTTGATGCTCGGTGTATAATTGATTATGTACCGTGGTCCATGATATAAAGACCTGTAAAAATTCGAGTGGAGATGGTCTAAAAGTAAATTCTTTCTTTTGCAAATAGTTTTCAATGGAACCTGTTTTTGGATGCTCCGTATGATCCGCCTGCTGCATATATATGCTTTCTTTTGCTTCGTCAAGGCATCATCAAAGTACTAGTAGTGATGGCAAACAAAGTGACATGGGGGCAAAGAGGCTGGGCCCACTTATCGGACGTCCGCTCGCGCTCGCCCTTAGTTCAGTGCATCACCAATTTCGTCTCCATGGATTTCATGGCCAACACCCTGTTATCCGCCGGAGCTTCCCCTGCAATGATCCACTCCGCAGACGAAATCCCGGAGTTCACTCCTAAGGTGCACGCGCTCTTGATAAACATGGGTACGCTCACTGCCGACTGGCTTCCGGCCATGAAATTGGCGGCGCAGGTGGCCAACCAAGCCGGGAAGCCCTGGGTGCTCGACCCCGTGGCCGCCGGCGCGTCCAGTTTCCGGTTAAATGCTTGTTTGGAGCTTTTGGGATTTAGACCCACAGTTGTTCGAGGAAATGCCTCTGAGATTCTTGCGCTTTCTAAAGGTTGCGTGGATTCTAATTCTAAGGTAAACCCTACAATATTTCCACTTAGTCCCTCGTAATTTGTTACCCTGTAAAAAACACCCATAAGAGTGTACTCCACTCCTAGAAATCTTGGAATATTGGAAGTTCTGCAAAATCATAAAGATTTTATTTTTACTACAACAAATGTGGGCATAGCATTTTGCATTTGTGATACAATGTTGTTAATTGTATTGATTTTGTTTCTTTGCATTCTTTCATCCTCTAGCTAAAATTTAGACGAACCTTACTAGAGCTTCATGCCTCCTTCACAGAATAATGGCTTTTAGACTAGATAGTTTGATCAATGCCAGTACTCATATACAAGTTGTCAAAGTTATTAGATTTCAAATCAAGGTTGACTCGTTTTCTGTAAAAGAGTGGGTTCCATAGTTGGATAATGAAGAATTGCCTCAAACATGAATGTATTGGTCAATGTATGTTACCAAGTATTAATTATTATGATGGTTGATCATTTTCTTGTTAAGAATAGGACTTAATGAACAAATCCAGCATTATGCTATGTTATTTTACCTCTACGGGGAGATTGAGGGATTAGCTTTTGGGCATTCCAATTCCCCTATATCCCACCTTTATTTCTTGTGTATTGAGTGATCAACTATGAAAACAATATCATGCTATCTTCAAGTGAATGAATTGAAGCATTTATTCGACTCATTTCTTTTAGTTTGACTTCTCTTAAGGGTGTTGACAGCATTCATGGTTCAACGGATGCTGTAGAAGCAGCTAAATCTCTGGCTCGATTAACTGGAAGTATAGTTGCCGTTTCTGGAGCTACTGACTTTGTCACAGATGGCCAAAGGGTTATTGGCGTACAAAATGGCGTACCTATGCTGCAAAAAATAACTGCAACCGGATGCTCTGTGACAGCTCTCGTAGCCGCCTTTGTTTCAGTTGATCCATCACATGCTTTGGAAGCCACGGTTTCCGCCCTTTCCATCTTTGGGATTGCTGGTGAGGCGGGGATGGAGACCGCTAAAGGTCCAGCTTCACTGCGTACAAACTTGATTGATTCACTTCACAGTCTAGATGAAGATACCGTGCTTTCTCGGATCAGCATTATCAGCTTTTAAGTCTTGGGGGATGCTACTTGAATGTGTTTAGAATTTAGAGTTGCCTCAAATTAGCCCAACCGAGGTTCAGCTTGATTAGTCGCACCAGAACAATATAGAGAAATTTGTGTTTAGAACTTGTCTACAAATATAAATGCATTCTCGCAATAATATGGGGATTTTTCTTGCCTATAATCTGCCACTCAGGAACCAACTGAACTACCCGTGTGGGTAATATGGGAATTTTTCTTCATATTCATAGATGAGGAGAGATGAAAAATACAAAATATTTGAATGGACAGACAGATAAAAACACACAGATGAAGATGAATAGTTATCACACAAAACGACCCAGAATTCTTATGTGTTTGTTTCTTTGTACAGATGAACCATCTCAGTAGGTAAGATGGACAGCCATCCTCAGCAGTGTCTGTGCACCATCTGTGATGTGCTGACCGGCCGGAATGAGTGATCTGAGCTCCGCAAACCCACAGGCATTCTTGAACTTGCCAGTGCCACCGGTCACCGTGAGCCGAGACATTGTGCTTCCTATCTTGTACACTCCAAAGAAGTTAAGGCTGTCGCCATATTCGCCTCCTTCAAACATGGCGGTGAACGCCATCATCTGTGTGCTGCCATCGGCCGAGCTGGAGACGTAAATCCCTTGAGCTTTGCCAATGGTTTGTGTGTTCAACTCCGGGGTGTTTGTCAAGATATCATCAATCACAGTTATGGTCCCAAAACCAAGCCCCAATCCATCAGGTCCAAGCTGGGTTGCAATGTTGTTGTTATTGCCATTGTTGGTCACCCCTGTAAATGCCGTCCCTGCCAGCCCGGTTCCCAGAGGAATCCCGTTTATATTGAGTGTCGGGATGGCGCCATTCGCATTGGGAATGGCCACCGCGTCCTCGGGAGGCTGGAAACCAAGCGGCTTCGCAAACGGAACTTGGCTGCTGTAGATGCTCCCCAGCAACCCGGTGATCGGCCGCGCTGTTGGGTTGTTGCCGCCGAGGATGTCGTGCATGTACATCTCAAGAACAGGCGGCTCTCCGGCCGCCGCCTCGGGGTTGGCTACTCCTGCCACCATGGCTGCCACATTCATGGCTGCAAACACCATTGCCAGGAAAATGGGTGATGAAGATTTCTTCAACATCTTGAAACCCAACAATCTGCAAAAAGACACTGATGTTTTTCTATGTTGTATTGAATCAGATGTTCTTGTTCTTGATGGAATGATCTTGAAATTGTCAGTTTATATAGTAGAAAGATAATAATAAGCAAAAGAGATGGAGTTGTTGGGGGATTCCAATATGGTGCAGTTGAAGTTCCCATAAAGTGTTTCTGGTACAACCAAAACAAACATAGTTTTATTTCATTGAATATGGGAAGTTTATTCTGAATTTCCTATAATTAAAAGAGTCCAAACATTCATCTGGATAACTGCATCACCTTTACAACAAACCAAGAAAGAATGGCAAAAAAAAAAAAAAAAAAGTTTATTGCAACTTCAAACCATATTAACCAAAATTAGAAATGGTATTCATTGCAATAATGGTTTATCCAAGAAGAACATTTATTGTGATGAATATCGTTTGTAATTTCGGTGAACATGACTAATCACTGCAATGAATATCAAAACTCATTCTGAAGCTAGGTTTTCAACTTCCAGCCCAGGCTGCTCTTCATGATCCATGACTTTGATTGGTCTGATTGTGGGGTACATCAACTTCCACACTGCAATTAATGGAAGCCAAAAAAAAGAAAAAAAAATTAACTTTTGTTTTATTTTGCATATGAATATCTTAGCCTGGAAAATGTTATTTGTACCAAATCTTATATATTTGATATGATGATGCGAACTTAGTTGACCCGATCTTCTCTTTACACTCTGACTAAAATAATATTTTAGAACAGTTTATTAGGCTAGGTGACTTACAATATAGAGCTGCAGCAAACCACTCATTAACAATCTTGACCCAAGTGCTAGCCCACCCAACATCTATGCTCCATCTGTTGTTTATAGAGTAAGAAAATCTTGATTAGATCACCATAACTTCTGCTAGGAAATAAATATAAACATGCTTGTTAAACGTCGCAGGACGGGATAGGGTGCATCCGTCTTTTGAAAAGTCGGTGCTCTAATTTTGTTCTGTCATGTCAAACGAGACTAAAATTTGGTCTAACGAGCATTTTCCAGTAACAAAAAGTTTGTATAATAAAATGGCAGCTGTGAGGAGGTGAATATGGTTGTTACTTTCTGGGTAAACTGTCAAGATTCCAACTGATGAAGAGCATTGCAAAATACATGGCCCCCAAGGAGAACACCAAGTGGAAGAAGCCATACTTGTAGGGAATATCATCCTCCATCTCTGCTTTCCCTTTACGAAACTGAAACCACAAATCAAATGGGCTTTATTTTTCTGTCTCGATGGTTTATGTCGTGATTGTTGAACATATAATATGTACAATATAAATATATAGTCTCACTAACTAAATACATCCTTCAATTTGGTATCAGAGCTAAAAGATCAGATGATTGCCGATACCTTTTCTCAAGGTTTAAGGATGTCTAACCTGAAATGTCTTGGAATCAATGCCAGTGGAGAATGTAGCCATGACTACTGCAACTATAGCTATAAGAAACCCCTGAAAAGCAATGGCAAAAACTATCAACATTGCTCCCAACAACATTAAAATGAATGAAGCTCAAAAGCATCCTATCTGATACATCCCGAGAGTGTGCACTGGATAAATCCCGCCTTGTAACCCTAGCTGACAAAAGACCACAAGGAGGTAAACTAGCCTAAGTTGCGCATAGATAACCGGTTCAAACCAAGAAGGCCAATAAGCCATTCCTGGGAGTCGAGCTTATAACTTTATGGTTACTAAGTCAACTGTCTGACCAACTTGGATGGGGTAGCCCCGCCTATTTGGTAACACAGAAAGTCATGAATGCTTACAATGACAGTAGTCCAACCACCTCCTCCAGTGTTCTTATTCTGGGGGCTGCATTTTGCCATCCCCGGCTCGCTGCACAAACAACATTCATCGCTAAAACATTACATTTTTCAATTGAAACATACATGTATATATATATATGATCGTGTTGTAAACACGAATCTAACCTTCTTATCGCGCTCCAACAGAGGAATACGAGGTAAGAAGCCATAATCCCGGAAGACAACAGACCTCTATTCACCTGTCCTAAGCACAACACAATTGTTCGTCACAAAATTCAACCATAGAACTGAAATTCCAGCATAGATCGAAAGGCGAAAAAGACCATAAACAAAAACCGTACCTTATAGTGCAACGATACGACCATCATTACAACGAGCAGAAGTGCGGTCCAAGAGATGAAGAATATGTTCAACGAGCACGATGATTTGGAGGCATAAAGCATGTACATTACAGCTATCCCACAGACGGAAGAAATGTAGAATACTGTCGACATGAATAACCCAACCGAGCAGCTGTTTTCAGAGAACGACAATGAAATATAAACGAGACATCATCGGACTGCATAACATAGGTCAGGTCATACATTTGTACATACATAATATGCTGAAGTTCATGGTATGTAGGTCTTAGAAAACGACCATATATCCATAAGAAAATAAGACCTACTAAGGATCGTAATGTGCAACCTTTGCTTCTTTGTTTCATCGGGCATCCAGTAGCTATTCCACCATGTAATGAACTCGATGACGCTAACAAGTTGAAGGACAAGAAAAACCCTGCACCAAATAAGACATCGCAGATTTGGATAAAACATTAATTGTTCATTCTAGTCTTTCTAGGCTACAAAAGGGCACAACGTGTGACACTGTCCGAGGAAATTGACTAGGAAAGCTTGTAAATTTCTAGGTAGTATAGAACCGGGATGAATACAAGATTACCCTGCACCAACACGAGCAAGTTCACCTGCATAGACAATTAGACAGTAATTTACTTTTAACTCAACAGTAAATTTTATGGAGCAAGATTAAAGCTAAGTGGAACTGTAATTGTGGGCATATATACCGTATAATTGGATGTAGTCCGAGGGGATAAAGAATGGAACTGTGAGACATACGATTAATATAACAACCTTAAGAACCCACCACCCAGAATGCCATGCATTTCGAGCTTCGCACAGTTTTCTTGTGTAACATGTCGAAAGAAACATGGCGAAGAAGAATATCTGAATTGTGTGTCAAGGATCAAGCTAGAACTATGCAGACAAGCAATTATATGGCATTAAGGGTGAAATTCAAATAATGAAAGAGGGTGTTGAGCATATAACCATTAATGTGCAATCCAACTATCAGCTTAAGCTTTTAGTTGAGATGGAGCACATACTTCAATTGAGGGAATTGAAATTTCTCTTAATTCTAACGGGCAAAAGATACAAAGCATCCTAAGCTCACGCGAAGAACTCCCATTGTGTGAAAACATTTGGCTCCCTCGATTCCACAAGCTCTAGAATCTGCAGCAAAAACCACTATGAATAACAAGATTCCCAGGTTAAATTGCAGAAAGAAGTTTTAATTTGCTCACAATGAATCACGGGGATAAAGCGTTCTCCATAGTCACGAATGAACCAGGCTACAAGATTCGTAATCAAGAATATAATGCCATAAGAATAGCGGGCTCGTAAGGACTTCTTGCTTTTTGCTTTATACTCAGCTCTCTTCTGCTGCCATAATCCCAATCGATTCTCATTGCCAACCACCTCGACTTCTGCTACATTATTAGCTTCAACCTTTTCGCCCGTAGACTCAACCATCCTGTAGGTTTTTGTAAATTAAAAGTTAACCATTTAGCCTGACACTACAATGGATGTTTTCCTAGGATAATGCCATTCATTGTGGTCATACCCGAACTAAAAAGGTAAGAATTTCGATTTAAAAACTCAATCTAGTATGACTTATGAATGATTCTTGAACTGGTCTAAAAAAATGACATAATTAAGCTGGGAATTGTGAATTTTGTTCATCAACCCCCAACCACCAAGCAAGAATCAGTTTCATTTTAGCAGATAACACAAAGTACAAGAAACCAGAACGACGATATGCATAATAATATAGGGAAAGAGAACACCATTCTCAAAACCTAAGAATTAAGAAATACATTGTTTGATTTTCAAAGGATAAAGTGGTTTGGTTAAACTTCTAAACGTGTGTAATTAACCAAAACAAGTTTCTTTCATC